TGTTATACACGTCAATGGTACTTTATTATCTTTCTCAATAAAGGAGTTTGCGCTTGTGAGTGGCCTCAAATATATTGGTAACGATGCTGATTTTGAGTTCAGTGAAAAGGTTTCTAACTGGCTTATTGAGAATTACTTTAGAGGTGCCAATCTTGTCAAGAAGAAACATTTGATGAAATGCTTTGCTGAGAAGAACTGGGGTCACGACAACGATGGTGATGCCTTGAAGATAGCTTTGTTGTATTTCATACACACCTTTATTTTTTCATCCGAGAAGAACAACACAACCATACCAAGGCTACATTTTGATTTGGTCAAGAGTGGGCACTATTCCATGGGGTTTAAAAGCATTTGAAACGCTGACAAAATCTATTAGCAAGAAGATGGATGCTCAGAAGAAGTATTACAGGATAGCTGAGATGCCCTAGCTATGCAAGTGTGATTTTATGAGTGTTGTTTAAATGTTTATCCCAAAATTGCACTCCGAGTTGATAACGTGGTCCCCAGAATACTCAATTGGAGAACCACCGGAAATCAACCAAACTTTGCTTATCTGATGAACAACATGTTCAATGACAAGGGAAACATGTTAATATACAATTTGTATCTTGGATACTTTACAATTTACTAATCATTAATGCTGCATACAGTTGCATACAGTTGCTGCATACATCTGAATACAATTGATGCTATGCTCATTAATATTGCTGCATATTTGGTTAATTGAAACTTCAATACAGTTGTTGTTGTCTTCATTAATATAGTTGAATACAGTTGCATATAATTTAATAATCATTACTGCTGCCTTCATTTGAATACAAATTACATTTTGATTCCAGTATTAAAATACATCCATTGTAGTAAGACTTTGATTGTATTTCGTTTTTCAGATTGTTTACAAGGACATCCATCCAACCGATATAGAGCTTTCCGTTATTCAGATTCCTCCAGTAGGTGTTGCTGTTGAGAACAATCCTACTCCTACTCATTCAGACAAGTCGGCAGAGGATTCAGACGACTTTTCTCCTACACCTGATCTCTAGTGTAAGAAGAAACATGCTACAAGTGTTGGTCCATCTTCATCACCGCCCCATAAAAAGCGCAAGGAACAGAATATTCATCCCTCAAATACAACTCCAGTTGGTGTATTTGAAATTGCACAAAATGTTTTGCATCACAATCAGCTGGCAGATTCCAAAAATGATGAAGTATCTTCTTTGAGGAAAGACCTAAATTCATTAAAAGAATACGTGAATTTTTTATCACATTAAACATTACAGTTTAGTGCTTAACATTCGTATGTGTACAAATGCACCTTTCTAATTATTTCTGTCTTGCTAAGGTTGTGGGCGAGTTCAAGTCTCTGAGATCATTGATCACTGATAACTTTAAAATTCTTCCTGACCATCTTCAACACAATCAACAAAAAGAAAGCTTACACCAGAGAAAGGAAACCATATGGACACGTGATGATGGTATTGAAATACCATATGAAGCCAACTTGCAAGATATTCCAAAAGGTCACAGACAGACTGATACACTAGTCGGCGATAATATTGAGGTTTAATATTTTTTAACCTCTTTAGTACATGTTTAGATCTCCTGTTTGCTCATATTGTGAAATACAAGTATATATAGAATAATTTAGTATTTTAAATTATCTTAATCCTATATGCATTTGTATTTTCCTGACTTTATTTCTACATAATTATTGTGCACTTCGCATGTTGTACATACATAACTATATGCATCTGTATTTCTGTTGTAATGTATTTATATATATTACAACATGATATTTGTATTCATTTAACTTCCTCTATATAGTAATGTTATAACTTCCAGTTAGACACATTTACATTTTGCCTAGAATGTATAATGTAGTTAAATGTATTCAGATGTATTCTTAAGGAGATTCATTGAACATACTTCTAACATGTATTCAGATGTATTCTTAAGACAAGTATTCAGATGTATTTATTGAACATACTTCTAACAATGATGCATAAGACTAACAGAATGCAGTGGTTAATGCTCTTTGTGTGGAGTCAAGAGTGGAGGTGAATACTATATCAGAGGTACCGTGCAACTTACCACCTATAGGCCAAGAGGGTGTATGTACAAATTACTATGTATCTCAATTTGAGCTGGACGACAAGTTTCTTCCCAGTCAAATTCCAGAAACTAGAATTGTGATACACAACAGTGCAAAAAAAGTTGCATCAACCCCAGTACCTTCTCATAGGAATCGGCGATCAAGTAAATGATATTCTTCGCCTTACGAGTTTAACTTCGACTCTGCAGGTTAGTGTTTTATAAACTAATTATCTACTTCCCCATGGTTTTTATAACTAAAACTCCCTATACATGAATTCAATGAACAACAGGTACCTCAGTAACCCATTTGACGATGATTCAATAATGGGGCCGCACCCTACATTAATCATTCAGGAATACGACAAATAGGTTCGTGATGGTCTTCTTGCTAGACATGAGCAGAAGTGAGTTTTTTTCCGGTATGTCTATTACGTATTTATATTTTTAAAAATGGATATAATTCCTTTTTTATATCATACTTGTAGAAGTAATTTGGAAGACCATTATAAGAAGAATAAGTCTACACTTCATATACCATTGGATTTTGGAGTTGATCAAGTCAATTCAAAAAATTGGTTTTACCTTCTATTGTTTGACGGTAAACTATGGGATGATAATGTAACTTTAACCCCTTCCAACTCCACTATAATTCATTTCTTTAGTATTGGTTTTTGTTTAATTGTATAATTCACAAATTGAGCTCTAACCTAAATTTGTCTTACATTACTTTGATGTACTCAATTGTATGCAGATGTTACTAATAAATCTGCTGTATTTAATTGTATTCAGATGTATTTTAATAATTTTTATTAGCTGAGAATGCAACATATTTTTAACTGAATCTGTGTGATGTATTTAATGACATCATTATTTCCTAAAGAACTGCTGTATTTTAATGTATTTCTAATGTATTTTCAAAGTTATCAGTAGTTGTAACTAACAGATGTATTACAATAATATGTATTTAATTAACTCATTAGTCTTGAATAACAACATGTATTTAAATGTATTCAAATATATTTTAACATTAATGGGTAGTTGTAAATATCAGATGTATTTAACTGAATCTCTATGATGTACTTAATTGCCTCTTTGTTCTTGAATATCTGTTGTAAGACAGTGTATTCAGATGTATTTTTCTGTATTCAGATGTATTATTCTTGAATCTCTGTGATGTATTTAACTGAGCTTTCACTTGTCATATTCTTTTTTTTTCCTTAGTTTGATTAATTGGACTAACACTATGTAATTAAATTTGTGTATAGCATATTGACGTCATATTCTACTACTAACACTATGTAATTAAATTTGTGTATATCATATTGACGTCATATTCTACTATCTGAGAAAGAAGGGAAAGCACAACCAAACAAGCAACTTCAAGTATACAACTGTTGATTGTATATTCAAGACAAGAATCGCTGAAATCTTCGACAGGTATGCTGATACAGATAGTAATGCTAATGTAGCCAAAGAAGGGGATGTGGTATATGAGTACATAAGGGGTTACAGATTGCTAGCTAATGTACCTTGGCAAACTGGTGACAATGTCTTGATACCAGTCAACTTAAAAGACAAACTATACTAGATATTGGCTGTTGTCTCATTCAAGGAGAGATGTATCAAAGTGTATGACTCGTACAGATTTGCAGGTCATGATGCCTATGTAGCTTCTGAGATAGATAAGCTAGCTAAGCTTGTACCTCTGTATCTATCAATCAGTGGCTTTTATAGAGATAGTCAAGGCATAGATTGATTTACTTACTCAGCATACACTAACAAGTCATATACTGATCCTTTTGAAATTGTTTTCATATCAAATCTGCCTCAACGGAAAGTTGGGAGCATGTATGTATTCAATCATCATTCTTGTATCATTTTCAAAATCTAATTGTATGAATTATTTTTAATTGTTTCAATCAACATTTTTCAGGGATTGTGGGGTGCATGTTGCGGCATACGTAGAGTTTCTGAGCACTCTTGGTGAGATTCTACAAACAACATTTGATTCCAATCTACTCCGTTGAAGATATGGTGATCTCCTCTGGGACTATACTATGCAGAAGATAGACGCTGATGCCATAAGCGAGAATGAAGCACCCTCAAAGATTGCTACGCAAATCACGGAGTCAGATTCAAAGTTGCAGATAGTGTTAGAGTAGCTTTAGGTGAATGTAGTTTTGGAATGTTGTTTTTAGGTGAATACTATTTTTTGAATAGTTTTTTGGTGAAGATGGTATTCAGTTAGAAAAAACCATGTTTTAATCACTTTATCAATTGTGTTCATGTATGACAATTGCAACTTTTCAATCTATGTTTCATTATGTTGTTCATAAGTATTCATGCTTAATCTTCAGTTTATATTCATATGTATCTTACAGGATATAAGTATGTATTAATATTCAATCACTTAGCTTGTATATCAAAGTCAGAAACTGTATGTATATTGAACAGGTTATACGTATTTATTGAAATTGTTATATTATAGCTGAGTATACAGATGTATTCTGACTAATTATGTATATTCAACTCAGACACTGTCTATAATTGTATGTTTAAGTATATGTGAAAAAGGTTGTATTCGATTGTATTCAACACAATACTGCAACTAAATGTATCCAGAATCTAATCAGGTTATATGTATTTATTGAATTTGTTATCTTATAGCTGAGTATATAGTTGTATTCCGATGTATTTTGACTAGTTATGTATATAACTCAGGCACTGTCTATAATAAATTGTCAAAGTATATGTGGACAAGGTTGTATTCGATTGTATTCAACACAATACTACAACTAAATGTATCTAGAATCTATTCACGAAAGGCATTTCAGAATTTATTACTTGACAATATCATCATAAGTAATGACAAATCGTTGGAGCACTAATACATGTCAGAGTGTTAACTAAATCCTACGTGGAGCATTTCTACGTGTTCGCTTGTTATGTCCTCCCTGCCTACATATGCTACATGAATGTTGATTTTTTGGCTGTAGCAATTCACTTAAAGGTTTATCACGCTTCTTCTTTGGCCTTCCAGGAGGTCTTTTCCATTTGGGTGGTAATACAACCTCCTCTGCAATATGTGCTGGTATATTCCAGTCATTTCTGTCTGGCAGCGGATACACATGCACATCATATGTCATTACAACAGAATTTGGTTTGTAATAGTTAGAGCAATATTCTTCTGGCATTAGAAATTTGCTCTTCAATACAGCCCAAGCATGTGGGCATGGTAATTCATCAACTTGAACCTCCCACAAACACATTTTCTCTCTAACAGGCAGACAATGTAATGCCTCCCTCCATCGTTAACCGTATGTAAGTATTCAGTTAATGGTACCACCTACATTTAAACATAGATCTATAAGTTTTGAGTACATATAACGGAATTACCATATGTATAGTGCTGAATTACTCAGTTAAATACAACTAAAATATTTGAACACAAAAGAATACATCATATATTTAGACCGACAGACTATAAACTATAATTACGTCTTAGCTTATGAATACAATGGCATACATCAAAAATCTGCTAGACTTCAGGCAACTGAAGTGTAACAAAAATATTAGAAGGCTACGACATGACAATACGTCTATATAAAATTTTTTGTATAATACAGATTTGTCAATTGTATTCTGATGTATTCTTATAGTTATATTTATAAGGATTTTCAAAGTTTCCATCAGTGTTTTATTCTAATTGCAATGTCTTTATTTCTTGTATGCGTATGTAGTATATTAGTACATATATCTCTATCAATGATATCTTACTCCAGTTGATTTTTGCAGAATGTATTTAGTTGTATTCATATGTATTCATGTCAGTTTTACTATGAAATATGTGTTGTATGCAGTTGAATTTAGTTGTATTCATGTAAGTTGTATTATGAAAAATGTGCTTTATTCAGTTGTATTCATGCCAGTTATTTCAGAAAATAATTAAGCTATATAATACAATGACATTTAAATAAAACTTACAGTCATGCGTGTAGACATTGCCTCATTCAAAGTCAGCATCTCCTGGTATTTTTTTCCAAGCATTGCGTATGTCTGTGTAGCTTCTTAGCAGTTACTACAATTTCAACGTCCAAACATCTTCCTAACTTCTTCGAGGAAGTCGTATATTGGCAATTCCCTTGCTGACACTGGTGCGACATTGATTGACTCAGCAATATTTGACGCCATGGTCCATCCTCTGTTAACAGGTGCAAACAACCTAGCCCACTTTTCGTATCCATCTAACTCCAAGTATTATTTCACCCTAATATCTACCTTCTCCACCTTCTCCATTAGACTGTCAAATTCAGCTTGTGTATATGCTTTTGCCATCGAGAAGTATATCTCGCTCAACTTTGCATGGCTCTTTTTGAATTTCTTATATACATTGTTCCATAGATGTCATATACAATCAAAATGCGGTACATCTGGATGCACTCTTGATACAGATTTAATGATACTCACATTTTTATCTGAAACGATGCACATGTTTTCCCTGTCACCGTATGCTATCTTGAATTGCTCAAAGAACCACGTCCAAGCAGTATCGTTCTCTGAATCAATAACACCATATGCTAGTGGTAATATATGACCTGTAAAGACAATTGAATACATATTTTTAAAACATGTATTTCAATCTTAAAAATATTAACAGAGTTTATTATAATTCACATACTCACCTGCACCATCCAACATGCTTGCCAAAATGAATATCCCGGTGTAGTAAGATTTTAGGTGACTTCCATCCACAACAACAATGGGTCTACAATGATCAAACCCCTTTATAAATGCATACAAATATATATACACGTACATGAATTCATTTTTGGGCGATTTTACCATTTTGATGTGGGAACCTGGATATGTCATATCCATTGTATATAAGTATCTTGGTAATTTTTTGTATGAATCAACTGATTCACCTCTCAAAAAATTCATTGTCTTTTCTTTAGCCCTTCACGCCAACATGTAGCTAACATCTACACCTAAATCTGATTTCACATCATCAATAATATCCTTTGGGGTGCATTTCCTCTTATGATTAGTAAGCTTAGACCCAATCATACCACCTATGAGGCTGCTACTTGCCTGTCGCTGCTCATACACCTTGTCCTTCAGCAGACATGTATGGTTGTCAATGAAATCTCTCACTTTGAATAGTTATGATTTGTTAATGCTTGAAGCCTTAAACCTCCATTCACAATCTTCTGACATAAATAATAATGCATAGGTGCAAAGAATTAATCATAATACATATGATTAGCATAAATGTTTACAAAAAATGCACTCATATACACATGAATACAATCTGACATGAATACATTCTGACATCTATATATAAAAATTATTATACAACTGAATTCAATTATAGTTATATGCATTGAAATACAATGAATACAATTATTGTTATATGCATACACTTAAAAAGGACAGTAAACAAAATACGAAAATAATTAAAGACACTGTAATGTAATTATACCAGTAAAATACATATGAATACATGTATTTAAAGACCATAAACAAACATATGTTAAACACATCAGTGATGATCAAGTGGAAATCCACAAACACGCATAAATACATCAACGTTTAACTTACAGCTCCAACCAAATATACAAAATACAAAAAAAAAATATTAAATACACGCAAACCTGACAGCATTAAACCTATCAACCCGGAATTAAAACCTTTAGATATAGCATAATTCTCCATCACCTCTTTCAATGTAGCCTTATCCTTATATACTTGTCCAACAATAACCTCCCTTTGATTAGTTTTTGAAATTATCAAATCCTTGTTCAGTTCAAACACCCCAATTGCTTCTCCTGAATTGACAAAATCTAGAGCAAGCGTGTCATTTGTACTGGAATCATACCTTTAAAGTGATTCGTCTATTTGCACAATATCGCCTTGACTTAAATTACCACCGGATACAAGTTCTTTTTCAATCATTGTTATGCACAAAGGATACATCCCGAATTCTCTGTTCTCTTTTTTCAACTCTACATACACCCTATAACCCATGTCATTGTGTATTTTCATTGGCGTGCTAGTCCCTTCTACTTTGTGTTGAATTTTAATGGACTTTGTGCTCAAATCTATGCCCAGTTGATTAGAAATTGAAGCAACCAAATTATTATACGACACACACTCCTTTATCAGTACTCCCTCAATTGAAAAATTGACGTAATTGCTCTCATCGTTCCACTTGCCAGAATGACGCAACAACACTGTTAAACTTGCCATATGTATAATGGAATTATACCGTATTTTGTATACAATTGTATCATTCGTACTTTTCCGTAGTTGAATTGAGAACAGGGAACAGAGAAAAGGGAGAAGTGAAATTCCAGATGTTGTATTTTCTTGTTGAATCGTGAATGGAAGAATACAGATTAATGGGTAATAGTTTTTGTTCGTTGAGTTAAATTAGGAGAATAGCCGGTGATTTGATTTCCTTTCCATTTTTAACAAGTTCAACCTTCCAGGTTTTACGCAAATACATTACTGTATTCACAATAAGGCCGCGTGAATACTGTCGAATACATATCAACCTTAGCTGGAATTCCCTTTTTCACGCATATTTTTGCTATTGTATTAATGAATACAATATCTTACATATATCAAATACATGGTATAACCACATAAAAGGTATCTATAACACGTAATATAGCAAAATGTATCTATAAATGGCTAATTACACCTAAAAGATAGTGCTTTATGAAAATTTCTCTTAAGAAAATACTAAATTCTATACAAAAATACTTAGTATGACTAAACTACCCTTAATTAAATATTTAATGTTAGGAGTAAGAAAACTTTTTACGGATATATACATAAAGGTAATTTTGTAAAAACAAATTGAATTCTTTCTTGATTATATAAATGGACACTTATTTTGGACCAAAATAAAAAAATAAAATGGTCACTTATTGTGGATCATTTAATGATTATTGACTTTTTGTTAAGATTGAATAAAAGGTATGACTTTCATATTGCAAAGGTCATTCCTTGCCACTTTAATTAAGCTAAAAGTGTTTACCGGATGGGTCGGATCGGGCTGGACATGAGAAAAATAGCTCATCCGGTTAGTGGGGCGGGGGTTAGTGGGATGGGATTCCAGACTGGTAGTAGGCTAGGATATTCCAAGTTTTATTGGGCCCGTCCGTGTTCGGGTTTATCGGGTCCGGACTGGGCCAGGTTAATTTTGTTTTTTTGGTTCTTTTTTTTTGTGTGTGTGTATTATGTTTTCTTATTTAATGTAATTGATACTTTAGTGTTTGCAAACTTTTAAATAATAAAAAAAGTATTTTAAGGCATAAAATTAAACTTTTAAACTTTAAAGTTTAAGTTTTAAATTTGAAATTTGAAATTTGAAATTAAGTGGCTACATAAAATTATTTAATAAGAGCAATATGTAAGGATCAAACTTCAATGGCTTTTATTTTATGTTTATCATTGCATAATAATACTTCAAATTAACTTGCCTAATAAACTAACACATTAAGCTTAAATAAGCTTAACAAATTCAAAATAACACAAATTATCTCAAATCAACTTAAATACGAATTCCTAGAGGACACTCAAGACAACCCTTGATATGCCTCCTTAAACTAGTTGTGCCCTCTCACTTTCGATGAACATTAAAGACTCGACCACAGTTTTGGCACTCTACTTTGCGAACTTCTTCATTTTCTTCTACCAGCTCAAAGTGTTCCCAAATATATGAGCACACTCTAGAAGCACAAAACATGATTCAACTTGAACCTAACAAAAATGGTAACCACAATTCACTTGATAACTGTAATTTTATAGTGGCTACCGTAAATAATTGATAAAACTTGAAATATTAACTAATTGAGAATTTGAGAGCAATAAGCAATTCAATAATCAAGAGGGAATTGAAGTAGAAGAAGGGAGAAAGTTATGAGAAAAAATGAAGAAGATGAGGCTATTTATAGTTTTAAAAAGGCTAAAAATGTAATTTATCAATTATTAGGGGGTGAAAGGTTATTTTAGTAAGGGGATAGGCCGAAATGGCTAAAAGTGTAAAAAATGGTTGTTGCCCAACAATCATTTTTTATTTTGACCGTTGGGAACTGTCAAAATTAAAAAAATAAGTAAATTTACAACTTAAACCGGGCTGGAACACGATTAAATTAAAATCCTCGAACGGGTTACCGAGCTAGCTGGGTTCCAGTGCACCGATAGCCAAAAAAGGCCCGACCCCGTCCGGCATAACCACCCTACCCAACCCGTCCCACCCCTTCCCGGACTAGGCTGAATCGGGTTGTTAGTGGGTCGGCCCGACCCAATTAATACCTTTAAATTAAGCTCACATTAATTAGGGGAATTTACATCTATATATACCTAGTTTTTGGGTTACTATTGAACTTATACCCGCTTTGCACAAAAAATTACAAGTGTATTCACTTTTCGGGTAACTTCAGATATACGGGCCTGAAGCAGAAAAAAAATTATGTCTGAAGTTTGAACTTCAGAATTTTTTGCTTGAAGTATAGCCATATCAAAGCAAAACTTCATATATTTTTGCTTGAAGTTTGGCCTGACTTGCAAAGGCAATCATGCAAACTTCAGTTCATAGTGCAAGGGAAAACTTCAGTTCAATTGTGTATGTCTGAAGTTGAACGTCAGAAATGTGACCTTATTAAAGCAAAACTTCAAAATATTTTCACCTGAAGTTTGGCCTAACTTGCAAAGGTAATCGGAAAAACTTTACTTCAAAGTGCAAATTTTAGACAAATTGAGCTCTGGATGCTTCTTCAAGTTTCATGCTCCCGGACAATGCTCAACCACGTTTCCAACAAGGAATGCAGGTCCAAGGATTTCAGTCAAATAATTTTGATTTAACAAACCTAAAGTTTTATATTTAAATGCCCGGATGATTTCAAGATTAGATCTTCAACATCTCAATTATTGATTTGACTTTTCAAGTTCCTTTAATGGTAACTTTAATTCAAAGCTCATACCCTACTGCTAGATCATTGTTTATTTCATATCCAATCAATAATATTTACACAAAGTCTCATGTGTTTGAGAGAGAAAAGAAGAAAAAGGGGAAAAGATGAGGAGGGAGAAAGGAACGCGTAAGTCAGAAGGAAGAAGAGCAGACATCTAAAATTATCAAAATTAGGGTATAGGTTAAATAATTTTAAAATATGAGTATATTTGCAATTTTTACCGTTAATTAGCGTATAGTTATACGATCATAAAGAATTTGAGAAAACTTAAAAGAGAAATGGTGATTAAATTTCTCTTGTATAAAATTGAAGACAGGCCTCTGCTGTTCTAATTTTCTATAAGAAATAGTATTACAATAAATAAATTGAGGAAACAACTAGTCTAAAGTATAAACTAAGTCCCATACATGTAGGACATGTTTGATGTGAACTACATAAATTTCTTTATGATAGTTTAAATATGAGTAAATCAAACATTTAATGTTAAATCCAATAAAATTTGAACTGAAACCTAAAACTAAACTAGCACTTGGCCGTCCACGCCATTTATAATAATTAGTTCCTTTGATTTTTGCTAAATTCGTTTTGAAGGGGGGCTTATTAATTCTTAAGAAAAATCGGATGAGAAGTCGAGAGGACGTACGAGCTACGAATCCTTCTAAGTCAGTCTTTTCCTCTATAGAATAATTAGCCTAAATAACCGACCACCTAACTACTTAAACTGAATATAACTTTTATATATATAGTAAATCCCTATATTGCTAATGCTATCATTCACTAGAAACAACAAAGTATCCACAAGGTGAGGCTCTAATGTGAAGCCAACAATTCCACAAAGAGTATTGAAGATTTAATAAATATATAAGCTAGAAGTAATATTCAATTTATATACAGTATGAATTTTCGGTAATCAATTGACCATCCTTTACACGGTATACCCCCGTCTAGCCCTATCCATCGTTTAAAAAAATAAATAAATCCCTATCTAGCTAGTACAAGATCCATAAGAAGAAAAAGGAAAGAAATAAAATAGAAAGAGACAAAAAATAGCGTCTCAATAGGATTTATTAAAAATAGCGCCAATAATCACAAGAAGTAGGGGAGCCTTGGAGCAACTGCACGGTCTATACATCAGGGGTTCGAACCGTAAAAGTAGTCACTAACCCTTAAATTAGGATAGACTCTCCAACTTAAACCTTAGGATGCGGCCTTTCTTCCAACACTGCGCTAATGCAGAATGCTTTATGCACCGAGCTTTCCATTTTTTAATCACAAGAAGCAATCAACTACAGGAGCTGACTTTCCCAACTTGAACTCTAAATCATTCTCCAATGGCGTCAAGTTCAAATCCAAACATAAAACCCTTCGACTATTATTTGATTTCTTTACAACATGATGAGGAACTTGAATATTATTTTCATTCAATATAGCCCTATGCCTTCTCATATGCCCACCTAAAGCTTGACCAATAGGAAACTCAAGCCCGCATATTGAACACTCATGTGTTTTTGGTTTAGGAGGAGAAGTTGGCAACTGATGATAATTCAATTCCCCCATTAATCTTGGCTTTTTATGACTTGCTCTATGACCTCCGAGAGCTTGGAATGAAGAAAATTGTCTATTGCAAGTTTTGCACTCGAAAACTCGATCAGGAGAATTGTTGAGAGTGTCAAAATGATTTTCTTGGCTAGAAAAAAGCATCAAGTAATTTGCCATGGTTGTTATATTGGTTCGAAATTCTTCTTCTCTTTCTCTCTTTATTGGTAGAACCACCATGATTTCTTGCAATTCTGGGAAATAATATGTTTTCGGTTTAAGAATAAGAATAGACTTTAAAATCGGATGCCCTTAGCGAGAAAGACCCTGATCCTGCCAATCATGTATCAAACAGAAAGAAGCGAGAAAGGCCCTGACGCGGCTTACCAAGTATCAAACAGAAAGAATAGAAAGAAAGGAGTTTTTTTTTTTTTTTGGGTTGAATATTCTTGGGGAGAAAAGGAGAGTTGGTTTACTGGTTTTGGTTGGAAAAGAAAGAATGAATTGATTGAGGAACTCATGGCCATGGGGTATGTTTATTTATAAGGGGTTTGTTAGTCTGGTAGTTTGACTATGGGCTTATATTAGTTGACTTATTTGTAATGAATAAATTGGCACATTTCTTGGGGAATAAGTTAGATACATTCTGTTTAAACGAAATTACTGTGGGGATAATTGCTATGGTAAAATCAGACATACATGAAATGTGATTATATAACAAGCTTAAGTAATTGATACCAAAAGAACTATTTTAAAAAGCATTAAGTAATTAATACCAAAAGAAATAGATATACAGTCAAATTAACCTCTTTATATAACAGCTTCGTTTGTTTCAATATTTTTTTGTTGTTATAGTAAATTGTTGTTATAGAGGACATATATTATTACATAATATAAAAAATTAGTTCCGAAAAAACTTAGCTTTTATAGTGAATGACTATTATATAGGAATGCCGCTATAGAGAGGTCTGACAATATATATATATNATGATCGGATAGTGTAAAGTTATATTTTCATCTTAGAATGGAAAGAGTTATTGCATCATCTATATGTGATGTCTCCATTTAGCTACAAAAATTGATTGATAATAAAAAAGAAGAAGATTTGAGGCGCATGATATGGTAGTAATTAATCATGTTAATATTAAAACGAATTATCTTTCTTGGGGTTGGGTTGGAGGGGGGGGGGGGTTGTTCTAGAAATCGACGTATATGTAGATGTAAGTAGGTGCAAAATCATAGAAAGTTGCTAATTTGAATTATTGGTGTCCTTTGGGCATTTTGAAGTGTGAATTTGGTGAGCCATCGTCGAATAGGCAAGCTTGACGGTATGGCTTAGCCAATATCCATGTGAACAACTGAACGTGATGACTGATGCGTATTAATCTTGGTCTAAACTTTATACCGTCAAATATTTCTATAACAAAATTTCAATATAACAGTCATTCACTATAAAAATCAAGGTTTTTATGAAATTAATTTTCATACTATATTATAATTATATAATATATGGTTTATATAACATCACTTTGTTAAAAAACTCGAAATAAATATGGTTATTATAGCGATATTTAACGGTAGTTATATATATAGAGAGAATTTCAAACGCATAAATTTTAAATTTTAATTCCGCTTCGGTATAGAACTTCTATATTTCTAAACGCCCTTCCATTTTCTATTCTTCTTTTTTCTACTATTTGTGAGTCCATTCTCACCTCAAAACCAAAAAAGAAAAAAGAAAGAAAGACATTTTCTAAAAAAGGTCGAAGGTCGTGAGTCACGAGTAGTGACTGGAGATTAGTAAATATTTTGCGTAAATTCGTGGCACCTTCATTTTTCTTGGATATTCTTTTGGTCCTTTCCCACCTGAGCTTCTGTTGTTACTTGGAAACAATAATTGTCGAAACTCAACAAGTCTTTATCACTTGTCATTAAAATCACAGACGGATTTAAAATTTAAATTTTAATAAATTCAACCTTGCAACAAATTTATTATATTATTAAAATTATAAATTCAAATTTAATATTTGTTGAGAATTTTGTTGGGGTCGGAAAAGGTTTATTGTTGTACTAATTAATATGCACATCAAAGACATGCGGGATATATGGGAGCTATTATACATATTATGTGTGTGTAAATTGTAATGAATATATATTTGACTTAGATTTTGTGTATCATACTTGTTGACAATATTTTAAACAATAAAACAAATACAATAAGTTACCAATAGCTCTGGCGATGATGCTCTTATGGAGCCCTTTCGTGCATTTTTTAAATTTTTGGTTGCTTTTACTTTGAATTAATCAGCATTTTAAATATAATTGTAAAATCAAAAATTGTGGTAGTTGTCCGTACTTGTTCATGTACTTGTTCGTACTTGTCGTGCTGAGGTATATGGATTACAATAATATTTTTTTGAGTTTAATTTTTTAAATGGAAAAAGTCATAAATATTATTCAACTTATTTTGATATTACTAGAAGGATTAGTATTAGATTGAACACAACTACTGAACGGCTAGTCAAATTTTATGATGTACTCCCTTGCGTGTAGTGATGTTGCAATATTACATTTTCAAGCAAATAATTAATCTTCCTTTATTATTTATTTTTGTAGCTGTATCTGTGAAGAATAGTTTTATAAAAGGCATTCTGTGCTTTTAGTCCCTCAAGTATCGTCAAATTCTGATTTTAGTTCTTGTAATATCTAATTAAGCATATTCAATCTTTAATTAATTGAAATGTGCACTTTTGATCCTTCTTCTTGAGAATCTTCACAAATTCAACGAATTATTAACGATTATACAATTTAATTATCCAAATGTTACTGTTAAATTTATATTGTTTCTTCGTATACAATGATAGAATTGTTCTATAATAATCTAAATGTAACATATTTCCTATATAAAAGGACCGAAAACAAACATTTTAATTAATTGAAGGTTGAATGTGTTAAGTCATATGTATATCATACGGACCAATAATGTAATTTATTAATAATTGTTAAATTGAGGGACCAAAGAATGCTATTATCCCTCTTTGTGAATTTATTACTCCGTAAGTTTACGTAACAAATTTATATTCATACAGAGAACTTTCATGTTATGAACAACATCATGTTCGACAATAATTCAAGTTTGGTTTCTGTCAATAATTTTATGATAATGAACTTTTGTATATATTAATTAATGAAGATCATGATATGAGATTATGTGGATGCTTTTAGCAACTTAATTCCTTTGAAGTTTGAGTTCTTAGAAACTAGAAGTGAAACCTTGCAAAGAATCTTAGGACAATTCTTTGGCACTTAGTAAAAATAATTATTGCTTCCAAATAAAGATTTTCCGAGTATTTGTGTGTGAAATATATGACTTACGTAGCAACCTCTTCAAAATTTCCAAGATTAATTATGTCCTTTTTTCTCTTCCTTGTTAGGTTTTATTGGAAGGGAACTTCAAAAATTATATACTGATTATTTTCTCCTTCTAGATTAAATTAGACCATTTTCTTTTACCATTTCTCCTCAAATACTCTAATCTTCAACGAGGATCTTAATTCATATTAATTATATTCTATAAGTAACTTTCACTGGTTTGAAAGAGTATACATTATCCTAGGACTTGTGAGAAATCATGTCTTCTCGATCGATGATATAATGTAATATGACAATAAATTAAAAGTGGGTTATCTTTAATAGCTTAAATTTTTAGATTTTGTGATCGTACAACTTAATATGGGTAGAGCTGATATGATGTCTTGGCGATTCAAATCTCTCACAAAATAAAAAGTATTTTCACGTCTTTAACCCATAAAAAATATCATGTCAACATAATTGCAATTTCTTGTTGCTGTTTACAACACTACAGTTAGGTCCTCGCCTTAGTACTTAGTAGAAAAAGATTGATGTATGCGTTTCACAATCGTTTTCACACTACGATAGTTATTATTCAACTTGCTTGAATTAACAAAAAAATTATCCAAAAGTTAGTTGGAAGAACTTGTGTGATTTTTCATCAAATAATTAATTGCTTTGACTAATAATTGAGATAAAATCACTAGCAAATTAATTCTACTGATTAAGTAGTCACTGGATGTGTATTTAGCAAAAGGACAAGTCATTGTCGTAGGTTTGTTGATTAATTTTCTTGTACGCAGAAATTACATTAATTCTATCCCAAATAGAATTAGTCAAATTAAAACATCGTATTATTCAACTATATTTTGGTTCTTCAAGAAGCAACTTAGAGATGATCTCTATTTAGCCATTCCTACTGTTGAAGTTTGGCAAAATGCCAAAGTCCCACATTGGTTGGGAGTTAAGTTTGGGGGGGATTTTTCCCCTATAAAAGAAGGCCTAATGTTTAGGATTGATACACACCTCTCATTTGCCTTCTCATCTGTTTAAGGCATTTGTATCTTCTCTCTTTAGTATTATTTCACTTGTATTTTTGGAGTGGAATAAAATATTTGGTTGTGTCCGAGGAGTAGGCAAAATTAGCCGAACCTCGTAAATTCTGGTGTTCCCTTTATTATTGCTTTATTGTCTTATTTATTATTTGGTGGTTGTCATAATTTTTGGTATAGTAGTTGTGACTTATTCACACTCTATACATTTGGCTTCCGCAACACCTACGTGACACTGACCTAGATATACTCCAAAAATATAGAAATTTCCTGCATTAATAGCGTATTTTGACTTGTTGTAGCAGGTATAGCATATTTTATTTTTTCAGGTGATTGATCCTACATTTTTATAAACAATTATATATGATTATTATTTAGGTGACCGATAAATTCTTTTACGTTGCCATATAATTTTGTCTTCGCGATCTTTTATAGATTCAGATTAATATAGATTCATTTGACTTCACCTTAATTCATGCATTAGATGTAGATAAACTATTTTAAAAAACTTCCTCCTGCTTGATCTTGTGCTCACATTGCCTTCCTTTAGCTGTTTTTACCCTTCAGCATGCATTTATTTTCTATTCATTTCCTCCTCTCTTTATTTTTTTTTCTTAAAAATTACCTAGCTATAACACTCCCTAATTTGAGATTTTACTTTTATTGCCATAAAAAATAACTGGAAAATATAAGCTCCAGGTCCTATAGGGATTAAAGAGCCAGGGCCGATTTAGATCCCGTTTGGATTGGCATAAAAAAGTGGCTTATTCAGCAAAAATAACTTTTAAGCTAAAGAATAATAAGTTGGGATTGCTAACTTATTGCTTTTGATTTGTTATAAACATTTTTTAACTTATTTTAAGTACTTTTTAATTTTGTCAACCACCGAAAAAGCTAAAAAAGGCTTAAAACTGATTTGACTATAGCTTAAAAGCCAATCCAAACAGCCGCTGGATTCTAGAGATTAATTGATGTGGCGGATGTATAATTCATTGTGCGCCCTGAAAACTAGTATAGATATTACAATAAGTACTATGTTTTGAACCCATAATTTCAAGGAACTCGGAGCTTTATATTCATAAAAAAATAAATCCTTGGGTAGGTGCATGTGTAT